CAAAAAATTGACATTTTTTGGCCGGTTCTTTTCAAAAAAACTGTGCGTTAAGGGGTCAAATTAAAATGATTATTGACACTAGAATTGCCGAGGATTTATGTGTACAGTAAATCTTCCCTAGAATGCCGAATTTCGGGTTGCTGCGAAATTCGCTGCGCTGGTCCTGCGCCTATGTGATTTATTGCTACGTCGACGCTGAAGTTCGACTCGAATTGACGACACGAAATGGTCTGTTTCGGTGTGAGAAAGGTAAATAAAACCGCGGAACTTTGGCGAGAGTTGACTAAATAAAAGCAATAATTACCTTTCCGCCGACAAAATGTCCGCCGTTCTTCTTGACCTGTTCATTGAACTTGTCAAGATACACGGGAAGTTTCTGTAAGGCGGCTTCTTTGAGTTTCGCTTTGAAACCTGGATCCTGTTCCCAGTAGTATATCGTGACTGCTGTGAAAGGAATAATAAAATAAACATTAAGCACTAGAATCTCCGGTAATACTATATTTAGCGGACACTTTTTCAACAGTTCAGCGATCGCATTATAACAAGTACCGTGTCTCAGATCGTCTATGGTGTCGATAGTGGCGTCGATTTGGAAAGCTTCGTACTCGTCGGCACCGTAGAGATTATTTTGCTTGGCGATGAAACGGCAAATTGCCTTCGACTGGTACAAAACCTTGTCGTCGATTTCCAGAACTGGTAGTTGGCCCATTGGCATCTCTGCAAAGATTTGTCGTTATTTGTTAAATAAATTTATTTTTCTTTTTTGCTGTTTTTATTAGTGAAATAAATGGCCACAGTATTTTTCTCTGCACTCTCTATGCTTCCAAACTATATTTAAACGTATGCTATGTGTACATTTATATACGTATATTTATACTTACGAGCTTTTAGTTCCGGCCATTCTTCAAATTCAACCCTCTTATCTTCGAACTCGATGCCGCTTTGGTGCAACAGAAATCTTATCGGCTCGCCGAGGCTAGTCAAGTTGAAGTACGTCAACTTGTAGGAAGGCATTATCTACAATCGAGCACAATTTGATTAGAAGCTGTTCCAATCTGTTCCGATATTGCCATAATTAAAGGAGCGATTACAGTTCAATTAAGATTATGAAATGTTTCTGAGACAGAAACGTTGATTAAAAATAAAAATTGACCGTGTACATGTGTAAACTCGCGATAACGTTTATATCTAGAACGCTGATTTCTTCGTTATTCAAATGCAACAGTTTAGTGACCCGTCCACTATGAGTCAACGATAAGAAGTCGATATTACGTAGTACGTGAGTAGTATTAATAAAGTAGTATTAATAATTAATAGTATTAATAAAGTAGTATTAATAATTAATAGTATTAATAAAGTAGTATTAATAAAGTAGTATTATCAATTACGTAGTACGTAATTAAAATAAGACCTCTGATCATCGAATTCTGTTGAGCAAAAAGTTAACTCTGACTAGGTACATCGACTGGCGACGTCCTTGATAATGTAAAATATATGTATAAAGACGGCAAAATAACGATCGTTCTAAAATTAAATGGCGCGTAATCAGATGTCTCCAATCTGACACAATGCAACGTAGTTTTTTATGTACGCGTCTGGTATTAATATTTTCCTATTTTTCAACGCGTTCTACGGTTCGATCGTTGCAGATTTAAGCGTTGCAACTGAACGGAGACATTTCGCATAGATTCTTTTGTTAATACACTTAATTCTTAATTCAGTTAACTCCCTAATTTACGCTCAGATTGTGTACGAAAATGAATAATTTGGGAAGATTATATATGATATTATGTATATTATATATTTTATTTATTATTTATATATTATTAATATAAATTTTATATTATATATTAATTATATATTATATAATATTTATTATATATTATTATATTATATTTTATTTATTATTATTATATTATTTATTATATTATATTATATATTATATATTAATTATATATTATTTATATATTACTAATTGTCAACAACTATAAAAACTGCAAGGTTTTACATGAGTAGCTGCAAGGCTGTTGCATTTTTTAGCGTGCAATTTGAGCGTCAATTAGGGAGAATTTCTTGTGCAAAGGAAATGTTTCAATTCTAAAGAATGACGTATCTCCAACATGAGTCATATTTCGCACGATTTAACGTCGAATGTTTCACACGTTCCTTTACCAATGTCATCGCAGATCTAGCAACGCTGGGATCTAACAGCACACTTGCATTACATTGTACGTATCAGCATGTATCAGCAATTACTGTTGCGCGTGCAACGGGAAGAAGAACCGGCCCGCCCAAGCGATTGACGCGGCTTTAACACGTTCCGTGCCGAGCTTTTTTTACTCGAATCTTCACACTTTGATATTTTACTAAAACTTGAGGTATTACGTGCAATTATTAATTCTCGTACACATAACAACGTAACAAAAACTTATCAACGCCCATTCTTGCGGTGGAAATTGATTCTTCGGTTCTACATTTCTTGTAAACAATTTGTACAGTTCACTAAGTAAACATGCAAGCGTGTACCATCGATGGTACACGTGGCACGGAACGTGTTAATCAGTTATGTGACAGTCAATAATGCTGCACTTTGGAATATTCTGAAAGATACGTGCATACGAGAATTCGCAACCCAAGTAAACGAATGAACGTTTCCAAATTTCATACGATTACTTATAAACTTTACTTTACTTTACTTTACTTTACTTTACTTTACTTTACTTTACTTTACTTTACTTTTAAACAAAACTTTACTTTACTTTACTTATAAACTTTTACTTATAAACTTTCATACGATTCGCACTATGGGCGAACTTATTGAAAGCCTGCACCACCTCCGATTTCAGCGGCCTTGAAATTAGTTATAGAGAGCGATATTCTGAACAACTTTTCCCTTTCGATTTGGGGCCTGTCGGCCTTAATTTCCGAGATATTGAGAAAAAACTGTCGTTATTACTACATTGAATTTTGTCTATACGTNCTGAACAACTTTTCCCTTTCGATTTGGGGCCTGTCGGCCTTAATTTCCGAGATATTGAGAAAAAACTGTCGTTATTACTACATTGAATTTTGTCTATACGTGTAGAACGAGGCATAGTCGTTAGTCACTGATTCGCCGTTGTTTGCTTTCAAACACGACGACGCACCAGGAAGAAGTCTAAATAACGGGTGAACACTTTAGTTCTGATCCAATGTAAAACGTAGTCAGAGATTTGAGACAACCTTGCAAAAAAGCATGCCTTCAGAATATAAAATACCCCGCCGACGTTAGTATTAATCTATGTGCGTCGCTAGGTGGTTGTTAGCATAACAGCGCTACAGCTGAATATCTTTTCAAGAGAAATTGTTGCAAGAATAGATCGTGTACAAATTAATTCGCTATATGAGCCGTTTATTTTGAAAGTGGCATAAGTCACTTTGTTTTTTAGTCGATATATTCAAGGGTTTGCGTTTTAACACGTTTCAAAATATGGATGCTAACTTTCGAGAAGGTTTACTTGTATTTGTTATCTCAGGATACTGTATGTATTGATATATCTATTGGTAATAAAATATACATTGATATATCTATTGATAATACAATATATATTGATATATCTATTGATAATACAATATATATTGATACATCTCAGTACAAATAATTTCGTATAAACATTAAAAAATCACCACTTTTCATTACGGTAANCTATTGATAATACAATATATATTGATATATCTCAGTACAAATAATTTCGTATAAACATTAAAAAATCACCACTTTTCATTACGGTAAAGTGACTTAAGCCACTTTCAAAATAAACGGCTCATATGCTTCAGTTAATTGTAGAAATTAGTTACAGAAGATTACAAGATAGAAAAGTGATGAACGAACATTCCGACCTTGTTCCTGCTTCCTAATTTTTATCCTGTAACAAAAGACCTTGCAAACTGTAACCGGCTAATTGGTATAAGATCTAATTATACGATATGTTAGTGCCGCATTTCAAGAACTTGTAAAACGTAATAATTATGTAATTACTGTAATCGACTTATTATTATTAACTTATTATTACTTATTAATTGATTAATGTGATTACATTAAGAATTAACATGTAAATAATATAATATATATAATATTATATATTATATTATATATATTATATATATATATTATATATTATATTATATATATTATATATATATATTATTATATATATAATATTTGTTTATACGGTTTTCAATACGCATATTCTCTGTGTAGAACAATACGTGATCACTAAACACGGGTTTATAATTTTATTAAGGAAATTTAATGGAGACAGAATAATTTAATCAAGAATACAGTAAAACTATGATGAAATAGGATAACGAATCTCGGTAAATTTTTCAAAACAATACAATTTCGTCGAAGAACATAGTTTTCTTCGATTAAAAATATTTCTAAAGGTAATGCTTTTTATAATATAAATACACTTACGTTTATTTTAGCGAGATGCTGTGATGTACAACCTGATACAACGACTTCTCGCGTTCTACTAACGAGTAGAACTGAGTGCTGTGTAAAACCAGTCCCCAGTCGGCCGTTATAAATTGTATCCTGGACCACATTCAATCCCCGCCACGTCAATTCCCGCACGATACGGCGCACAGTGGATCGAACTACCGGAACGTTGGACAAGCACTGAAAAACATTATTAACACGTTAACTTCCACGCCGGTTTTACAGAAATTGTCCGCGGCGCCACGATGAATTTTCTTTTATGTGATACATATAATGTTGAAATATTATCTGCAATAGATAAGTCACAGTGTATAAGCATGTTTGACATATTAATTGCGACAGGGGTCACCGTTTGAATTGCCAATGGTAATAATACAAAATTTGAGATATTGACATTTGCTTTAAATTATATATATTTCTATCAATTTAGGCGCGCCGGTCACCGGTGGCCCCCATGGCGTCACCGCCAAGTTAAGTGCCGGTCACCGGTGACCCCCGTGGCATTCAACGTGTTAAAAATGTTATTTAAACCCTTCTAACATTTTCAATGATGCTTATGTCGAGGTTATTTAATCGACGAAAAATTGGTGAAAATTTAATTCTATGTTGGATTCGTGATCGGTGACCTTGGGAACCGCAATTCAGGACCTTTTACATCGCGGTTCTCGAGGTCGCCGATCACAAACCGGTTAGATTAAATTTTTCATCGACTTTTAATCGATAAGAAATACATTTTTTTAATGAAACAGCGGACAATAAGATTACGAATAAAGGTAGGACAAGCAAAGGAAATGCGGGAAGGAAGCCTCGAGCCTCCACGACCATATAAAAGAGCTAACGGAAGGGTGGAGAATGGGGGTGGAAAGATGGTAGAAGAAAAAGGAATAAATAGAAGATAGGTTGAAGAAACTTGAAACTAAAGGCAACGCCGAAGACGATATCCTAGAAACATTAGAAGCAAAGGACAGAACAGAAGAAGCAGGAGAAAGAAGAGATGAACGAAAAAAATATAAGAATTAAGGGAGGAGAGATGACAGTGAAGGAAACTGTGATAGAGAGAAACGATGGAAGAATTATNTATTAATTGCGACAGGGGTCACCGTTTGAATTGACAATGGTAATAATACAAAATTTGAGATATTGACATTTGCTTTAAATTATATATATTTCTATCAATTTAGGCGCGCCGGTCACCGGTGGCCCCCATGGCGTCACCGCCAAGTTAAGTGCCGGTCACCGGTGACCCCCGTGGCATTCAACGTGTTAAAAATGTTATTTAAACCCTTCTAACATTTTCAATGATGCTTATGTCGAGGTTATTTAATCGACGAAAAATTGGTGAAAATTTAATTCTATGTTGGATTCGTGATCGGTGACCTTGGGAACCGCAATTCAGGACCTTTTACATCGCGGTTCTCGAGGTCGCCGATCACAAACCGGTTAGATTAAATTTTTCATCGACTTTTAATCGATAAGAAATACATTTTTTTAATGAAACAGCGGACAATAAGATTACGAATAAAGGTAGGACAAGCAAAGGAAATGCGGGAAGGAAGCCTCGAGCCTCCACGACCATATAAAAGAGCTAACGGAAGGGTGGAGAATGGGGGTGGAAAGATGGTAGAAGAAAAAGGAATAAATAGAAGATAGGTTGAAGAAACTTGAAACTAAAGGCAACGCCGAAGACGATATCCTAGAAACATTAGAAGCAAAGGACAGAACAGAAGAAGCAGGAGAAAGAAGAGATGAACGAAAAAAATATAAGAATTAAGGGAGGAGAGATGACAGTGAAGGAAACTGTGATAGAGAGAAACGATGGAAGAATTATTGGACCGCAAACTTGGCATAAAGACTGAAGTTGAGGCGGCGAGATGGGTAAGAAAAAAAGCGAAGGGCGCCGTGATAGTGGCGGCAAAGTTTCCGAGCTGGGAAGACGGGGATATGGTTATGATAAAGACCTAAAAAAGAAAGGGAGATATATATTTATATAACAGAATGCTATATATAAATATATATATATATAAATTCTTCCCAATTTTTCTTCAGCTTGCAAGCAAAAATGGACTCGCGACTCATTTTTCTTATAGTTGCCGATTGCCAACAATTATAAAAACGAAGTGCAAGGCTCGAATAATTGTATCTGCTCTTCCCAAATTGTCCATTTTTGTTTACAAGCTGAAAAGAAAATTGGACAGAATTCACTGTACTGCAGAAATTGCCAGAGAAGAAAAGAAAACCGAGACGATCCTCTAAAAGTTATGGTTTTGTATGTTTCACTACGATGACTTGCGGTTTTATGCGCGGTAAAACGCTTCGTCAAACATATTCTGCAATTACATAATAACAACAACAGTTCATTATCACTAATGTAGAAAACAATTTACTGGAAATAGATACTATCTACAAGTGGCTAATCTGATTCGTGCTTACCAATTCGATAAGGGAAACCGTAAAAGTGTACGATCATCCATTGCGGACGTTTATATGAAGGAAATGAATAAAAATAAAAAAGTGCCAACAGCACGTGGTGTTCCCAAGCGGTCACCCATCCAAGTACTGACCACGCTCAACGCTGTTTAACTTCGATGATCGGACGTTTTGTTTGTTTGTAAAACCTCTTTATTTAATAACATATTTACACTCGGTATATAATAAAATAAACTATTATAGTGCCTAAATGTTTCTTACTCTTTCTCTATAAGCGTAGTTCCTACAATTAATGCTATACCTACTCCTATAATTAATCAGTCGAAGTATACATGTTTCTCTTAGGTCTAGTGTGATTGTTTAGAACGGATGCGATGCTTAGTACGTGTTTTAGTTTTGTGAGGGAAAATTTTAGTAGGTGGCAAAAACCCTCATTCATTTTCCGATGATCGGACGAGAATCGGTTCTTTGCAACGTGATATGGCCGTTGACGAGTTCTAAAAAAGTGACAATACAATTTCTTATTAATTCTAGTGCATATCCCACGCTGCAAATCTAAATAATCGTAAACAATAATGCTGACAAAGTTAAAAAAAGAACATACTTCAAACTAGATCTGAATCACACTATCCATTAAAATGTTTCTATCTTCCCTATCATTTTCCTTTCCTAAAATATTAAAATATGGAGTAAGCAGAGCAGTTTTCAGTATATAATTTAGAAGTTTTCTTCCTACATCCGGTTTTTGCCTAGATTTTTTCTCGGGGTAACGTCTAGATCCGTTTTTATTGCACAACCGACCTGCCCTCTTTTAAAAAGAGCTAGTACTATAAAGTCTGGCCTGAATTTGGCTTGGACAAAGCGTTGGTGCCAAATCCATGCGACATGCGTAAGCAAATGGCTCCATATCTGACACGAATGTTCACTGTCAAATTCATTACAAATTCAGGACATATTGGGTAGCAACGAAGAGGTTAAATACGGACGTACGTCGAACTAATTTAAGTGGGAAAAATGGCTAGTTTATTAAACAAACTATTTATTTGAATACAAAAGTATAATACTTTAGTTCTAACAGTCTACATCTTTGAATATCTTTATGTAGTTATTTTACATAGATAGACGTTAATATATGCTGTAGTAAATGTTGTAGATATAGCAACATGTGGAGTTATGGAAATTTCAAATGGAGTATTTTCGATACACCCCATTTACGCATTCCATTGAGATTGTGGGCGTTTCTCAATCCAGCTCTTAATTGATGGCACATTGAGGNAGTATATCGTGACTGCTGTGAAAGGAATAATAAAATAAACATTAAGCACTAGAATCTCCGGTAATACTATATTTAGCGGACACTTTTTCAACAGTTCAGCGATCGCATTATAACAAGTACCGTGTCTCAGATCGTCTATGGTGTCGATAGTGGCGTCGATTTGGAAAGCTTCGTACTCGTCGGCACCGTAGAGATTNTTTCTCGTTTAGCTGTTTCAAATTTTCATAGTTCTCGATAATATCGGACTTCATCATGAAGTTCAAGTATTCAAGAAGACCAGCGAACGTAATGTCGGCCCAAGTCAAAGCACCGCCGACGAAGTAGCCATCATTCTTCTTCACTTCAGCGTCCAAGCGTTCCAAATAGTACGGTACCAGTTCCTTGGCAACTTTCAGTTTCTCATCCTTTGCCGTTTCATTGGCCTCGTACGCGTACGCCGCAATTTCTGAAAGAAAATTATTGGTCATGAAAATATTGACGTATAAACTTATCTGCTCTTTGTCCAACATTTTAATTCAATTTAAGATTTTGAAATAGGAGCAACTTAGAAATTCCTGTCTTTCTCTAATAGTTTCAATAAACTGAAAGCAATGTTTTCATATAATTGGATTCTTCCTCTTTCGTATGGTATCTGCTCATTTTTGTCATATACACATAAAATTCGATGTCTAGTAATTATAGTCAATATGCTAATAATAATCCATATAATCCATACTTGAACGAAGATCATGAATAGTATCAACAATGACATCAATTTCAAGAGCTTCCCAGTCGTTCTTTCCAGCAAGGCCAAACTGCTTTGCCAAGTAGCGAGAAATGGCTACAGATTGGGCAACTTTCTTGCCATCAATTTCAAGAACAGGAACTTGACCAAATGGCATTTCTAAAAGCATAAAAATATAATAAAAATTTTAATATAAAATTATTCATTATTTTTATATAACTTTAAGCGTGATTAGCACACTTCAGCACTGTTGATTTAAAAGACATTATGATTTCTACATATATACAAGTTGAATTAAAAAATTTAAGTTACCATCAGACAACTATATCTATAGATACATTATTATCTGCTTCGAAGAATAATATTTGATTGGTATCTGACGTAGAACTTGAAACATTCGCTAACAGAATATCTTACAGATATAGATATAAACATGTTCGATTACATTTTATATTGATTGAAGAATAGTAAATACTTGAACTATTCAGTGCTACAACAATTAGCGAGAAAAATAAAACACAAGAGTTAAAATTTATTGTTACCAGGTTTTAGATTGGGCCAGTCCTTTCTATCGAAGCGGTAATCCTCAAATTCGGCACCTCCATAACTGAGCAGGAATCGAATTGGTTCGCCTAAAGCTGATACTGGGAAATAGGTCAGTTTATAAGTTGGCATCTTTCTGTAACGGAAAAGAAAAAAATTAGTTTATCCAGACCCCTTTAAAATACATAATTTTATTTTAATATCAATTGTAATTTTCGGATTAATATTTAAATAAAAATCTTTCAGAACAAAGCAACTTCGAGATGTCTAAAAAAAAATATATACATCATGGTTCCGCGTGTAATGACTGCCGCGACTGATATCCTAATTATGTATAATGACTATATATATAACTAAAATTTATTACTGTATTTTTTGTTATAATGTTACATATTCATTACTACCATTAGAAGTTACTGGTATACATATAAAAATACATATTACTTCAAAGTAACATTAAATCATTGCGGCGGTTAGTCGTAATAACCGGCCATTGTGAGAACCATTTGCTGCATTCCTTCGCTGAGTACATGGTAATACGTATTGCGCTCTGTTGCTATTAAAGCTTTCACAGCGGTAAATATTTACGACCTCTGTCCAATAATTATCGTAATTTTTGTAAATAAATCTATGAACTTAACATACGGAATACAAATCTAGTACGGTACATTCTAACTTCCAGAATGATCTTCCTCAATGTCAAATAACCGGCTCGAACAAGGAGGTGAAATATACGAAGTAAAAGTACGTACTGTCGTACGTATAATGAATGTAAAGTACAAAATTCAGAGTAAAAATGATGTGAACATCAAAAACGTACGAAACCGACGAACAATATTAACATACTTACGACGATTCTCCTGATATTGCAACAGAAGCGTAAAATAGTAACGGTCAGTTATAGTTCTGAATACTTACTGGTTCTGTGTTGTAAGCTTGCAAGATTTAAAGAAATTCTATTTCAGCGCCGTCGACGGTAGAGAGACGAACTTCGGTATAGGTGAGAACGCCACTCTATAGAATAGTAAATACTGGTAGATTTACAGAGCTTGAACTTCAAAGTATGTATGATATTAATTTAATATGTTTGTTTAAACAAATAGTTTAGACGTACATGTAGCGGAATCTCAACAATATCTATTAACAAATATACGGCTAGAAGAGAGTTATTACGTGGGCGAGGATTATGAAATCGGACACTTTTTGGAATAACACTTTAAATATTACTAAAATTTTGATATGTCGTAATTAGCTATATGTATTTCCAGATAATAGAAATTTAAAATATTAAATTTAAAATATAAGGGTGAAAGTTTATATCTAACCTTTTAAAATGATCACTTGTAGAACGTTGTAAGATTTGTGTTTGCGAAGTCAGAGGTGTTCAAAGTTCGATAACTAATCTAGTAGCAGCTTATAGCACACTTTGTTCCAATATAATCAAGGAAAATGATTTATGAGATCGAAAGGTGAAGCATTTTATTCGATTTGCGGATGAATGATTGTACACTTTTATGGTCTCGCTTATCGAATTGGTAAACACAAGTCAGATTAGCTATTTCTAGATTATAGTATTTGCGTGACCAGTAAATTGCTATCTATATTAGTGATAATAATCTGCTTTTAGTATATTATTGCACAATCCGTTCGACGAAGCGTTTTTTCTGAATTTCATAACAATGTACTCTATTGCATAAAACCGCAAGTCACGTAGTAAAATATATAATATTATAATTTTTGAAAGAGTTTCCCATAAAAATATACGTATTATATATCCTAGTATGTAGTAAATTCGTGGTTACATACTTCGTTGCTTTAAAAAACTGAAACGACACCGCATATAATTAACAAATGTCGACACATGGAAGAGGTAAAGGGAACAATATACGATTTACTGAGAAGACCTTT